CCAGCGGCCATGGCTCACGGGCCCAGCTGCTCCGCGGCACGTGGGATCTTCCCGAAACGGGGCACGAACCCGCGTCTCCTGCATGGGCAGGCGGACTCCCAACCACTGCGCCGCCAGGGAAGCCCTGAACTGGGTCTCCTTTGATGTTCTTCCGGAGGCGTGAGGGGGAAGGATGTCTCTTTTTAATTCTTCGCTGTGGGTGTTTGCAGGGGGCAAGTGAGCTAAGCTTTTCTGACTATGTGACCCCTGCAGGGTGGAATCACATGGGTCTCTGACTCAGATGATTATCTATTTATATGGAAAGTATGTACCAAGTCCCCACCGTGTCCCTCACACATATATGGTTTCCTTTTGTCCATTTTAATACAGGGAAAATGAAGCTTAAGGAGGATGAAGGGCTTACTCAGGGCTACATGGTGTTGGGGCCAAAGTTGGAACCAGGTCTTCCTGATGCCAAAGCATATGTCCTTTCCCTCTGGGGAGCTATAATTGTTCAAGCGATCTTTCCTTCTCAGCGGAGAGAGGGCCTCCTTTTCCATGGTCATCAACAGGACCGGGAATGGGGCCTAATGGGAAGAAGGAGAATCAACACTTCCCGGACATGATGTGCGAGGCCCGGCGTTGGTCCCCTGACTTTTCCTTCCCATCCACCCCTTCATTCCACGTCTCTGTGAGGTAGGTATTTTGATTCTCATTTTAAAATTAGAAGATGGAAAGTCAGAAGAGATCTGCTCACTTCCACTGAACACATCTTCAAGGAGGAAAAACTAACTGTTAGGCACTTGGGATCCAAGACCTTATGGTCTAGCGAGGGAGACAACAGTGCAAACAAACAGGATCAACTGCATTTGATGAAACAGGAGAAGTGGGAAGAAGATATGGAAGCAGCACAGGGCGGGGAGGAATTGACTGGGTCGAGGGAAAGGTCTGCCAGGATAGCCTTCGAAGCATTTTGCCTGAAGGATGAATAAGAATTTGACAGGAAGAGTGAGTGGGGGGAACTGATTGGAAAGGAATTAGGCAGGAGGTGGGGGGACTAGTTAAGAGGAGATGGGAGTGATGAGGACCTCAACCAGGGCACAAGACGGTCAGGAGGCAGAGGGATGCGTTGAAACTGACACGTGCCACTGGACACGGGTGGCGAGTACTAGTCCCAAGGTCATGGGGTATGGTTACCACGGGTAAAGTGCAGGGGAAGATAACGATGAAATCATGTTCGAGGGTAGTCTATGTTGACTGTGGGGCACACCGCCAAGCAGAGGGATATACGGAGCGGAATTAACAGAGAGGTTGGAGCTCAAGGACACCCAGTAAGCGTGGTGCCAAAACCAAAACCACCCTTTCCAGTACAAAACACTGCCCTTAACGCTTGTCTGGTTTTTGTGGGTGTGTGCTTTTCTTTGCGTGCGTTCTATTTCAGCGTCACGGGGCAAGAACCAAATCAATAGGATTGCCACTCAAAGAGCTCCTTCCGTAAGTGCTGTCTCTATCATTTTCTTCCTGTTACGATGGCACGAATGTTATAAAAAGCCTATTAATATGTTGATTGTTATTTCCTTACATAACAGGGAGAGAACTGTGCTTGGACAAGTAACTTCTAAGCCTCAGTTTCTGTGTCGTTAAAATGGAGATAATACCAGCTACTTAACAAGATTACTGGCAATGACATTTTAAAAATCTATACATCACTTGGCATAGGGTAAATGCTATGTAGTAAATGCTCCAGAAATGTATTAGTATTATTATTTTAGCCTTATGTACTACAAACATTATTTGTATACTTAGGAAACAGAGATTCCCTTCTCGGACTGCTGGGACTCCAGAGGGACAGCTGTAAATTCATGTCCTTTCACACATAGAGTCTTAATTTTTTTTCTCTTCCTTTTGGGAAGAAAGAAAGGATGTCTCAAAGGAGGGTCTGGGCTCAGCTAGCAAGGACTTGGGACTGATGACAGCCCACCTAAGGGGAACTTTCTTCCAAAGACTAAGGCTGGTAGCCAGAGACTTGTCTGGTTAGAAGCATACTGACCACATACTGACCACAGAGCCCCCTAAGTTCACTGCTGTGTTATTCACACCGTGTGATCACTTCTGTCCATTTTGGGCGAGAAGCAGATGACCTGGCTTCCAGCCTGGCCCCACTACCTCCTGGACCTCAGGCAAACCACTTAAATTCTAAATCCCTGTTTTCTCATCTGTTAAACAGGGAGAGTGAGACCTGCCCAGCCCAGTTTACAGGATAGTGGAGGGAATGAAATTCCAGTGCTAGGCACTGGGAATCCAGCCATGAATAAGACAAAATTTCCGCTGGAGTTGAGAAGAAAGATAAGACAACTGTGCAGCATTGCAATGCCTGTTTCTCAGATGCTTGCTGGTCCTTCACAAGAAGTATTGCCTTGCTAGCTTGGGACATATTTGATTTTATAGTTTGCTGGACGGTGTCACTTATTTTTCTTAAGTTGAACTTTGTTTTTTCATAGTGTGACCTTAGGGGATTACAAAGAGGAAAAGCGCTGGAAAAAGTAAACCACAAAATTCAATTGATTTGAGTTTAATTTGTATTTTAAGTACAGCATAATCTTATTGCTATTACTTTGAACATATTTAAATGTTTCCATCGTAAAATTATAATTTCCCTTCATTATGTGATTATGTGTTTTATTCAAGTTTGCTAAGTTTAAAAGTGTGATTTTATTTTTAAAGGCAATTATTTTTAAACCCTAGGGGACTTTCTGCCTGGCTTACCTGGATTTAAGTGATGATAATATTATATAATTTCAGAAAACTTCCCTTGCCTGGATCACTGTCAGCTTATTCTTAGCAACAGAAAGCTTTCTAAACAGAGCACAAAGCTTTTCACTTCACAAGTTTTTTTCTTAAAAAAAGGCTTAAAACGATAACAGCACATTTATTTATAGCACTCAAGTAACAGACGATTAATTTTAGAAGCTTTCATTAAAGTACATTTTGATAGGGGAGGGACTGGAGCAAAAATCCTAGACTCCAGATGGTAGATCCAGCCATTGAAGCAAAGGGGACAGAAAATGTCATCAAAGATGACACTTGATTGTTTCAAGTGTTGCTGCAGTTGGTTTTGGCCATTTGAATATGGGATGGTGATGAATGAAAAAGACTGAAAGGATAGGTGTGAATACTGATGAGGGTGAGCAGCCTGGGACAACCTCTAGTCTCCCACGCGTGGCAACCCTGCCCTAGTGACCTGCTCTGCTCACCTCTCCACACTCAACCCTTGTTATCACTGGCTTCTGAAATATTGAAAGTTCCCTGAACACAAGATACTTTTTCAAGCCTCCGTGATTTCCCCCCAATTCTCCCAGGAATGCTCTCTCTTTCCAATCATACTATTAAATGTTGTTTTCCCCTTTTCTTTTTTTTTTTTGCCATACGCGGGCCTCTCACTGTTGTGGCCTCTCCCGTTGCGGAGCACAGGCTCCGGACACGCAGGCTCAGCGGCCACGGCTCACGGGCCCAGCCGCTCCGCGGCATGTGGGATCTTCCCGGACCAGGGCACGAACCCGTGTCCCCTGAATCTGCAGGCGGACGCTCAACCACTGCGCCACCAGGGAAATCCTCCCCTTTTCAATTGATATTGGAGCCCTTTGTCTCCTGCTCCGGTATGAATTGGCTACTCCCTAAGTCTGTGGCATGGCTAGGATCTGAGATCTCCATTTAACCATTGCTATTGGGAAGCTTTCTCTTCTCTTTGTTTTTTTTAAGTTTGATATAACTGTAGATTCATGTGCAGTTGAAAGAAATAATACAGAGAGATCCCATGTACCCTTTACATGTTTCCCCCAATGATACCATCTTGTAGAACTACATATAGTACAATAGCACAATTGGGGTATTAACATTGATGCAGTCAATACACAGAACATGTCCATCATCACGAGGACCCCTCATGTTGCCCTTTTAATGCTATATCCACTTCCTTCTACCCCAAACCCTCCTTAAGCCCTGGCAACCACTAAGCTGTTCTCCCTTTCTATAATTTTGTCATTTCAAGGATGTTATGTAAACGTCCATTGACAGAGGAGTGGATAAAGATGTGGCACATATATACAATGGAATATTACTCAGCCATAAAAAATAACAAGATAATGCCATTTGCAGCAACATGGATGGACCTAGAGATTGTCATACTGAGTGAAGTAAGTCAGACAGAGAAAGACAAATATCATATACTGATTATATGTGGAATCTAAAAAAATGGTACAAATGGTACAAAACAGAAATAGAGTCACAGATGTAGAAAACAAACTTATGGTTACCCGGGGGGAAGCGGGGTGGTAGGGAGGGATACATTGGGAGATTGGGATTGACACATACACATTGCTGCATATAAAATAACTAATAAGGACCTACTGTACAGCACAGGGAACTCTACTCAGTACTCTGTAATGACCTATATGGGAAAAGAATCTAAAAAAGAATGGATAT